AGCCCCTGGCAAGCTGGAACTCTGACAGCCTGCAAGGGGCAAGTCACCGTTTCCCATGGTTTTCTCCTTTAAAGCAGAACCCATTTTTAAAATGTGTCGATCCATTATTAAAGGTTGTTTGTGAAACTTTCATATATTCTTGCGACCCACAGGTTGGCAAATGCTGCTTTAGACAGTTACCTGGGGCTGAGCACACAGTACTCCAAATAGGAGGAAAGAAAATGCAACAAAATAGATTTTATTTTAAATACTGTTAAGGAAAAGGATTGAAATAAGCCTTGCACTTTGCCCTTGCATCCACTGCAGTAGTTAAATGCAACAGTTTCTGAGTTACGATAAAATGCCTTATACTCATATATTTATGCAGGCAAACTCACCGGAACCCCGTTGATGCCTTGAAATCCAGGAACACCCATTGGGCCCTAAGGAAAAGAGCAAACAAATAGTTTTTACTTTGACAGTCCTATATACTCCGATCATGCCTATTTAACACATTCACTGGCAGTATGCATCACACAGGTCCATACTCTAAACCCTGGGGACTTAGAGCATCAAATATCCATACTGAAAAGAGCAGAATGGCTCAGAAGAGACACCCAGGATCCTCCACTGTCACAAGGGCGATGAAGGTGGGAACTAAGGTGCTCAGTGAGACTGGCTGCCAAATTAGTGTCCGAGTGTTTTCACTGAGTATTTTAAAGATGAAGTGTAAACTCTGCCCCTCTGAGGATGCCATGGAAGTAATATGTGATACCGCAGATGTTCTAAGAATTGTTACAGTTTTGTCTGTACTGGCTTCTGTCATTCTTCCCAGACACTGGCCAGAAATGTGCAAGTCATTACATTAATTTACATCTGTTTCAACTAAGTACTGCTTTGTCAGCTCCACCTACTGGTTCTGTGGGGTGCAGTGTACTGTCAGTTCTTGCTAAACTTGGTGGATTCTCCAGAGAGGTACCTTAAATGCTACATCTATAGACCACTTAGCAGTAATAAGATAGGACTGAGGTATCTTTCTTCATTCATTAACAGCGACTATGATCACATCTACATAGGGCAAAAGAGAAAAAACAGTGACTAAACTTACCTTATCTCCTTTCTGTCCAGCTGGTCCAGAAGGGCCCATTGCCCCTTTCTCACCTTTGGCCCCTGGCAAGCCTTCTGGTCCAGTAAGTCCTGGAGCACCTATGGGTCCTTGGGTCCCAACAGGCCCTGGCCGACCCTGAAGTAGAGGAAGCAAGGGATGAGTCAATTATGTTTCACGGACACCTTCTGTGTTATATTGACCAAACCTATCTGAACTATAGCTCAACACTTGCCTGAGCATTGTTGACATGTAAGAAAAGGTCTACGAAGTTGTCTCTGTATATTTTCACTTCAGACTAATGAATAAGACTCACAGAAGTATTTCATGCCATATAGAATGACATTTTGGGGGTTAAATACACAAGCAATAATGGGAAACCTGTCCTTGTGGCTATTTAGACTGTAAGAAGAGTGAGGACGATGACATTTGAGATTAGGTTGACTCTTTCTAGTCATGACTGAAACGTCCAATTCCAAGCTTTAAAGGACAAAAGGCTATGCATGAGAAGGTATCATGCATAGAAGAGTAGACTGGAAGTACAGCGATAAAAACAGCAGACCATACCTAGTCTTGACTGAATTACCAGAGAGCATACTGATTATGTGAGATTAGTTTCACAGCTAGCCCAAAATTGGCAGGGACTCTGAAGTGCTCTCCTATTGCTTTGTAAGCAATGTCAGGTCACTTAGCCCTTTTGCACCCTACTTAACAGTTTGTGCAATCATATAAACTGTCAGTTTCAACTTTTTTATACCATTAGGAACTAACAAATTGCTTGACTTAATTCTCAAGAACAGAGATAATTTTACAAACTGATTTATATTTTTAAAAAATGCTATTGTGGCGGGAACCTGAGGATGCTCAAAGCACACAATATCTTGAGCTCTGTGTTCTAATAAAACTTTTGCAACCAACAGCACATGGCTCCACCAGCAAGGGAAAATGCATAATAACTAAGCACTACCGCAAGGTGGCAGCCTTTTCTAAAATTGTAGGAAAAAAATACAGGCTTTAGCAGTTTTTATTCTGGTATGGCCATAAAGATCACATGGGAGGTGGAGATACAATGAGCATCCTTGTAAAAAATTACATAATCTGAAAGGATTTACCTATCTGTGCTTAAGGAGACAACTGTATATGTCCTGATTTGATATTTACCAATAATTTTCATCAGCAATGTAGGGACATGGCTGGGAGCCTGGAGAAAGCAGAAGCAGCAACTTCTGATTGCTGTCCAGATGATGACTGTGAATGCAAGCACACAGCTGCCAGCAGCAGCTGCTTTTTTTTGCTGCTCCTCCCCCGCACAAACCTTCCCCAGTTGACACTAGGGGCAGTTGCCCCTGTCACCCTCACCAACCATCCCCTGTTATGCTACTGAATTTGATTATCATTTTGTGGCACCTTATATTGTTCTGTTATATACCAACTAAAAAAGTATAGAAAGTTCACATCATGCATGGACATGGAATATTCATGAAAATATGCATAAAGATACCCTTCATTCCTTAACTAGTCATTTGCTTCTGCTGGGATTAGCAGTTATAATAACTCAGGAACAAAAAAGTCCATTTACATTTCATCATCAGTGTATTGACAAAAAAAAAATCAACAATATAATTCACATATTGGTGAGGCCCGCTGATGTGGGCTTTTAAATTAGTTCAAGAGATCATTAACAGGTTGCAAATTTTTCTAAGCCAATACTAGGAACAAGAGAGGCTGATTGTAAGTTCTTCAGTAATGCAGGAGTGCTAGAAACGATATCCTCCCTGCAAAATACTAGTTTTCCTATTTCAAAAAGGGAAGCTCATATTTATGCTTGTCCCAACAAAGTTTTCCAATTAAAAATTATCAACACTGTAGGTGTTGGATCTCTGCAGGTTCATGCCCAGAGAAGACGACTATTGAAGGCAGGTGAAAACACAACCATAAAATAAAATTAGTTAAATATTCCCATTAAAATTGCTGGCATTACAAGACATTTGCCTGGAATGGTTTTGTCAATATTTTTCCAACAATGGTTGTCATAAAACTAGGATTGGCCAGTTCAACTAGTATGTGAATATATGAGATCTGCCTACGACCAGGTAGAAGATAGGAGGCATAGGGTAGTACTGTGAGGTAGCTGTTACCAAGTCAGAGTAGGGTAGGAGACAAACTTATGAGAGTGCTGATAAAGCTGTAGATTCAAAGAGTATCAGGACTTTTTGGTTAGGGATAGAAGTCCAAAAATCCCAAGTCTGTATTGATTCAATCTTTGCAGGTTAGTCTAACCTGTGTAGAT